ATTGTTTTTTATTTATATTTTAAAAGTATTTAGAACAAAAATAAATAAATTGGTTTTATTTAATATTTTTTAATAGTTTGAGTGAGCTCATATAAAAATAAAAATATAAAAAATATTATTTTAATTAATTTTTAAAAAAAAAATTAAAAAAAAAACATTTTACATCACATATTGACACATATTTAACCCCATGGTTAAAGAGGTTTGTTTCTTTTCTAACTTTCACTTAAAAAAAATATTAGTTAACTATATTCTTGATAAAAAGAAAAATCTCTTTTAATATTAATATATTATATTTGATAATATGAGTTATATTAATATATGAGATGATATGTCTGCGTGCTACCAAAGACTTATAAAACAAATACACTTAATAGAGTTATAATTGTAAATCAATGCTAGATAAGTAATAGAAACTAAAAGTATAATAGAACAAATATTTCATGATGAAAAAAAAAAGTTATGTTATTTATAAAAATTTAGAAACTGAACAAAATAATTTGTAGTAATCCAGTGTTTTATGAGGAAAGATACAGTGCTTTTACAATATGATTTAGCTTTTCTGTTAACTAGTGTTTTATGAGAAAAGATACAGTGCTTTTACAATATAATTTAGTTTTTCTGTTAATAAAAAGCAAAAAAAATTACAAAGTTAAATTTTTTACCAACTTAATATTAAAAAAAAAACCAACAAAGATAATTTTGGAAGGGAAAAAATCCATGAGGAAAAACGTTATAACAATTGATAATATTTTGTGGGGAAAACTACAGTGCTTTCCCCAATAAAATAAAATTAAAAACCATTTAGCGAAATATTGTAGTAATCCACAATGTTTTGTGAGAAAAACTACGATGCTTTCTTTATATGATTTAGCTTTATTATAATTATAATTCTTTAACAACTTAATATTTAAAAAAGAAAATGGACAAAGATAATTTTAGAAAAAATCATAGAAAAATTATATGAGAAAACACTATAGCAATTTATAATGTTTTAAAAAAAATACAAAATTAAAATTTTAATTAGCTTAATATTAAAAAAAATCGACAGAGATAATTTTAAAAAAATAAAAATAACACAAAAAAAGAGAAACAAATTATGTTGGAAATACTGTAGCAATTTGCAGTGTTTTGTGATAAAAGGTACAGTGCTTCCCCATATGATTTAGTTTTATTTGTAATAACTTATAAAAATTATGTTGGAAACACTGTAGCAATTTGCAGTGTTTTATGATGAAAAGTACAGTGCTTCCTCACATGATTTAGTTTTATTTGTAATAACTTATAATTGTAATTCTCAAACAGCTCAATATTAAAAAAATAAAATTGATAAAGATAATTTTTAAAAATTATAAGAAAAAAACCATGTGGAGAGAAACTATAACAATCCATGATGTTTTGTAAGGAAAGCTACAATGTTTTCCCTACATGATTAAGTTTTATTACAAATTTAAATTATAACCAACTTAATATTAAGAAAAAAAATTGATGAAGATAATTTTAAAAAAAATATTACTAAAAATGAAAACACAAAAGAAATTAGAAAAAAGCTATGTGAGGAAAAACTATATTAATTCATAGTGTTTTGTGAGGAAAAACTTGTAGTTACTTATAATTGTAATTCTTAACCTGCTTAATATTTAAAAAATGTTACTTATAATTGCAATTCTTAACCTGCTTAATATTTAAAAAATAAAATTGATAAAGATAATTTTAGAAAAAAATATAACAAAACAGAAAAAACCATATGGGAAAAAACATTGTAGCAATCCACAGTAATTTGCAAGAAAAGTCACAGTATTTTTATCAGATATTCTAACTGTAATTTTTAACCAGTTAATATTAAAAAATAAAATAAAAAGATAATTTCAGATAAAATCATAAAAAAACCACGTGAAGAAATAATGTAGCAATCAATAATATTTTAAATAAAAAATCACAAAAATAAAATATTAAAAAATATAATTGATAAATATAATTTTGTAAAATAAAAAAACTATATGAGAAAAAACCGCATAAATTTACAGTATTTTAAAGAAAAAATTACAAAAATAAAATTTTTAATCAACACAATATTTAAAAAGTAAAATCAATAAAATAATTTAAAAAAATAAATGAAAAAAAAAAGAAAACAAAGGAAAGTTGAAAAAATAAAGGAAAGTGATTTAAAAAAATAAAAAAAATTAGAAAAAAAAATAAAAAACCATTGTAAATTATTATGGTAATCCACAGTAATTTTAGTGTGGAGAAACAATAATTTTTTTATACTATTTAAAGTATCGTATTATTTTATTAACTTGTTGTCTAGCTAAAAATAGTAGATTAGAATTGATAAATTTTTATTTTTTTGTTTAAATTTTTGTTTTTAATTAATTGAAAGGTATTTTTATATGATAAATAAGTTTATTCATGCATTAATTAACAATATACTAAAATATGTAAGGAAAATACTTCTTTCCCCACACCTTTTAACTTTCCCCACTTTTCACATTATTTCCCCATTTCCCATGCCTGTTACTTTCCCTCTTATTTCCCCATTATTAATATATTATTATTATTATTATTATTATATTATAACATATATATATATATATATATATTAATTTTTTAATTTATTTTTTATGCTTTTATGGTTTTTTTTTCTTTTTTCTTTGTGTTTTTTTCTTTTAATGAATTTTTTTTGTTTAATTTAGTTTGTTAATGGTAAAAAAAAATTTATTTAGTTATCAGATTTTCATAACACGGATCCCGAGTTTGATGGATTAACCTGGTTTGACGAGTTAACCAAAATTTTATTTTTTTTGTTTTTTTGTTTTTAATTAATTTTTTTCGTTTAGTTTAGTTTGTTAACGTTATTTTTTTTATTTAATTATCAGACTTTCATAACACATATCCCGAGTTTGACAGGTTAACCCAGTTAATTAAGGGTTAACCCGTCAATTTTTTTTTTCCATTTAGTTATCAAACTTTCATGACGTGAATAGAAGGTTTAACGGGTTAACCTGATTTGAAAAGTTAACCTAGTTAATTCAGATTTTTTTCTTTTTCTTCATTAATTTTTTTCTTCCTGTTGGTTTTTTTCTTTGTTTTTTTAATTAATTTATTAATTACTACACTTTTATGACATGACCTTGTAGCCAGACGCATATCCAAAGCTCTTAGGTCCAGTATTGCAACCAGACTCACTTAAACTTGAGTCATGCAAATTTAATATTATTATTAAAATTTTAAATATTACTCTTGAGTCAAGCATTACAGCTAGACCAAAGGTTCTTGAGTATATTTTTGCAAAAAGACATAACACTCTTAGATCTTAGCCTTTTTTATATTTTTTATGTAAGAAAAAAATCTGTGGCGTATGCCTTTGTTTCTTTTTTCTTCTTTTTTTGTTTTGTAATTATTCTTTTAATTGAGTTTCTTAATATTAAATTTTTTCTGTTTAATTATCAGACTTTCATGACACGAATCTCAGATTTGACGGGTTAACCTAGTTGATTCAGATTGTTTTTCTTTTTCCTCATTAGTTTTATTATTCAGATTTCATCTTTTAATATTGTATGCAATCCATGGTGAAAATACTGATGCTTTTATTTTTTTTATTCTTTTCACTGTGGACTGCACAGTACAATTCATGGTGAAAAAACTAATGTTTTTTTTTCATTTTAATTAACTTTTTTATTTTGTTTGTTGATATTAATTTTTTTCTATTAATTTACCAGACTTTCATGACATGGATCTCAGGTTTTGACGAGTTAACTCAGTTAATTCATATTTTTTTTCTTCATTAGTTTTTTTCTTCATTTTGGTTTTTTTTTCTTTGGTTTTTTTATTAATCTATTTAATTATTACACTTTTATGACACAACCTTACAACCAAACTCACATCCAAAACTATTGGGTTTAGTATTACATCCAGACCCACTTAAACTTGGGTCATTCAAGTTTAATGTTATTATAAATATTACTCTTGGTTCAGATATTATAGTCAAATCCAAGACTCTTAGGTATAGTTTTGCAAAAAAACTAAACACTTTTAAATTTTATTTTTTTAAAATATTTTTTATACAAAAAAATTAATCTATGGTATCGCACGGGTCATATAACTAGTAATATTTACCTATTGTTATTAAATAAAAAATAAAAAAACTAATGTTTTAAGTCTATAACCCCCTTTGATGATAGGAATCTAGGCACGCAGATGATGTGCCATCCACTCTCTTTCTTGTCGTAAAAAAGATGGACAAGTCTTAAAAAAAATAAAAAATAATAATGCTAACTGCGTAGACCCGCTTTATGTGGGGTCCAGGCTTCCTTTGCATACATACTTGGTTTAGATTTAGATGAACTATAAAACAATTACCACGAGGGCTGCTGACTGGTTATTGCTAGATGTCAACCTAATTTTGTTTTGCATTGATAAAATGATTTTTTAAAATATTATAAATATAGTTTTTTATGTGTATTTTAATTGTAAAAGTTCATTTAAAAAAGTTAATTATATTTTAATTTATTTTATATTAAATTAATTTTAATATAATTATATAACTAATTTAGTTATTTTTTATATAATATAATCATATAATATAGTCATGATGTTATTAATTATATGACTAATATAAGTAATTTATAATATGAATAATTAAGTTGGGGCAAAAGGCAGGTTTATTTTTTTTCCTTTTGTTTTATTTTTGTGAAGGGAAAGAAAGGAAAGAGACATACGGATATATATTCTTTCTATTATTTTTTGTTTTTCTATAGAGAAATATAAAAATAACATTCTACACGAAGATAAGGCATTTTAATTATTTATATAGCTATCCGGTTAAAGTTATTAAAATTAAAAATAATAGATAAAAGTATAGTGGTTTTATTTTAATTATCTCGGCTCCTGCGTTGAAGTTACCTTTATGATTGTGATTAGAATTAGGTCAAATTATAAAAAAAAAATTATAGTATTTAATTATCAATTAATAAAAAATATTAAGCAATGAAATTTTAATTAAAAAAACATATTTATTTTGCATTTAATTACACAACATTGAAAATCTTCAGACAACTCACACGGCATTGCAAAGTCTGAATTTTTTTAACATATCAAACATAGATTAATAGATAGATTATCTCACACTCTCAAAAAAAAAAAAAAACGCGAGCACCATGATCATCCTTTTTTTTTTTTTTTAATTTGGTGTCCGGTAGGCTTTTGGGGATAACCTTGGCCTAGGGTGCACCATTAAGGGGACGGCACGTTGTAAAGTCAGACCGTATGCCTCGTCCATGTTCAATTTCTCCGGCACCAACCCATCGGCCAACTGCCAGTCAAAGGCGTGGATCAAAGTTGCAGTCAATAGCTGAACCATACGCAGCCCGAGACTCATCCCTGCACAAATCCTGCGCCCAGCACCGAATGGTATAAGCTCAAAATCATTTCCCTTAACGTCAACATCAGCCTTTTCCCCACCGGGAAGAAACCTTTCTGGCCGAAACTCAAGCGGCTTAGTCCATACATCGGGGTCACGAGCTATGGCCCATACATTCACCAAAACAGTAGTGCCCTTCGGAATGTGGTAGCCCCCAATCTCACAGCTTTCCGCGGCAATGCGTGGAAGAGACAATGGCGTTGAAGGGTGGAGCCGGAAGGTTTCCTTGACCACGGCTTGGAGGTAGGTGAGTTGCGCCAAGTCCAATTCAGTTACCAGACGGTCTCGACCGACGACGGAGTCGAGCTCTTGTCGGACCTGGGCCAGGATGTCTGGGTGCCGTATAAGCTCTGCAATAGCCCATTCCACTGTGCTCGACGATGTGTCGGTGCCAGCAGTGAACATATTCTGCAACCGCAAGTCAGCTCTGTTATGGAAGTTGACAAGGTGCTTTTCTAGAGTTGACTTATTATTTTAATTATTAATTATTTAGCTGATATCAACAATTAATTAATTCATTTTAATCGATAGTAAGATATATTTTCCAAAATAAATTACGCTTTGATTGAAATTAAATGTTTTGTTTTAATGATTTTAAGAGCATATTCTACTAAATTAATGCTAAGAAGGCATCAGAAATAAATACCAAAAGCAATGCTTTGATTTCAGTGTCCGTGAGCTTCCCTTCCTCACCATCAACATCCCGCTGCTCCTTCAGAGCAATCAACGTGCTCAACATGTCATTGTGCTTCTCTGATCTAACAGAAGCAGTGCTGCTGCTGGTTTTATGCTCCTCTACAATGTTAGTCAAGAAAGCATCAAATCTCTTATGAAGCTTCTTCATTTTAGCTGCTACACCCTGCAAGTCAAGCCACTCCAAAGCAGGAACAAAGTCACCGATGTTAAACACACCAGCCAACACCATTACCTCCACCACCATTGACTTGAATTCATCTGCCTTCGGGTCACCATCACCACTGCCGTCGCCGAACACGCGCCTCCCTAACATCACCCTCCCAAGAGCGTTAGCTGTGCAAACATTGAGCAATTGACCCAAGTTCACTGGTGTAGTTGGACCTGATCTTGTCAGTGCCCCTGTAAGCACTGCCACTTCTTCCTGCGTGTAGTGCGTATATCCATGGTAAGTAAATAAAAAAAATAAAAAAACCAAGTCAACGACCAACAATTTGCAATCATCAATTACGAAGACAACTGTAATCAATGTTAGGTTTAAGAATTTCTTAGAAATTAATCTGATGAAGCTAGTACCTACTACCTCCATTAGCGAGAAGCAAAGAATATTAGTCCAAAGCCAAACGCTTGCAAGTGATATTATTCAAACAAAAAAAAAACCATTTTAGTGTACAAACCAATCTAAACAAAATGAAAAAACATTACATACATACATACATACATACATACATACATACATACGTGTATATGGTTTGTTTGGTTAATTTTTTATTAGGAAACCAAACAGGCTTATTACTGGACCAAGGCTCTGCCAAGGGGCAAATGCAATTAATTAGTCACGCAGGCGCGGTGCTGTACAGATCAAGATATATCACAAGCATTAATTAAGAAATATGGAATGAAATGAACTTAACCTGTCTAATATGTCTAAAATCATCCAAGGACTTAGCCGAGAAGAGATGGACGGAGCTGATCTTCCGAAGCATGCGCCATCGTGGCCCATAGGGTGCAAACACAAGGTCTTGGTAATTATATGCAATATGTTTGGCACCGGAGTTTGGTGGCCTGCTAGAGAAGTTGGAATCGTGTACTTTCAAAAACTGAGCAGCCACGGAAGCCGATGCCGCCACCACCACGTCGACGAAGCCGAACCGGAGGTGCATGAGAGGTCCATATGTCTTTGCCAGGGCTGCCATGGAGTGGTGAGGCATAGGCCCCAAATGGGGTAGGTTTCCAACTAGGGGCCATGGTTTTGGGCCTGGTGGAAGGGGTTTGCCGTGACGGTCACGAAGGCTTCGCAGCTGAAGAAGGCAATAGACGAAGACGGCCACTAGTGCCGAGTAAAGTATTAGAGGAGACATGATTATCTCTTGTTTCCTGTATTAACTTGAAATGCTTAGAGATGCGAGACTTCTAATTACTATATAGCATATACATATAGGAGGGGAAGATGGAGACTGAGAGATGGCTGTGGTAGGTTGGCAACGTGTGGAGAGTAGAGCCGCACGTGAACGGTTATTTCTTATGTTAGCTACGTGTTCTTTAGCTCTAGTGAGAACATGCTTTGTACAATAAAATACAATATCGGTACAGACTATTAATAATAATTTTTAAAAAATATAAAATATACGAAGAATATAAAAAATATATCAAGTGTTTTAGATTTGATTACAATCTAATTTTATCGAGCCCTATTGGTAATAGTGCCCAACATTATCAAATCAATAAATTAAAAATATGTGTGTTAATAAATTAATAAAAAATTATTAATAATACTCTAAATTAAAACTTTAAAAGTCAAAAGATAAATATAGATCAAGATATTGAATATTAAAAAATAATATGCATATTAAAAATATTATTTAAAAATAAATAATATTAAATTGATTGAATAAAAAAATAATATCCAAGGCTATACATATTAAAAATATCATTTAATATTGAATAAAAAAATAATATCCAAGGTGATTAGTACTTAAAAGTGCATTTTTATCATGGTTTTATATCATCATTTTGCACTTGAAGTATCAATTATATAAAGGATAAAAACAAAACTATAGATGAATTATAAAAAGCACTCTGAAAATTAAACACATAATAAAAAATAAATATTTATGCCTTTCATTTCTTTTTCTTAAGTAAGTTTATTATGTCAGGGTAAAAAGGTTACACTAATGGTGTAAGAATAAATATAGTGTAAAACATGAACTTTAATATTTGATACAAACATATTTTGTATTTATTATTTTGTTCACTCTTTAATTCTTTACTTGTTAAATGATTAATTTAGATTTATATTGTATAACATTTGGTACAACAAATACTTTGTACTATTATATCACAAAGCATATGGTATAATCGATACTTGTGCTATGAAAGAAACTTGATTTGTTGTTAATATAAGCTATAATTATGAATGCCTGATAATATTTACAAGTATTAACATTATTCGAATAAGATAATTAATATAATCATGTTAACAATTTATAATCCAATTGGAACCTTCTTTGTGTATGGATTCTAGTTGAATAATAAGAGTTTATACTATACTTGTTTGAAATCCCATTATTGCATTCTCTAACCTTGACATTTGTTGTTATTATTGTTTAATCCTCACATTGATTTTTTATCTCAAAGTTCTCATCAACTTCTTCTTTTTCTTCTTCTATTATTATTATTGTTGTTGTTGTTGTTTTTGTTTATAATTTATACAATTAACCTTCTTGTGGCACGATTTTGATCTTGCCAAGTTATTTATTATTATAACACTCCTGTATTTGGAAGAAGATATCAATCTTTTGATCATGTCACCTGGTCACCCAAAAAACCTTTAAAAAATATTTGATGTTTTATTATTTTATATGAAAAAATTAAGAAACAATCCAAATAGATATAAACTATATATGTTGTAAATAATTAAGTTTAAAAGATTATTTCAAAAGGTTTTTTATCTGATATTGGAAAGATATTATTTTATTCTTCCAAGTTGAAGTATTTAAACAAAAAAGATTTATTATTTCATATTGAAAGAATATAATTTTTTTTCTTATAAACATAGAGTATATATATTAAAGGGTTTTAAATTTCAAATTGAATAAATAAAATATTTTTTCAGTATTTATATAATGAACTTTGAATTAAGTTAGTAACCAATTGAAAAATATGAAAAAAGAAGGGTCTTTAGATAGGAAAAAATACATTTGAAAAAAAAAAGTCTCTGCAGGGTTTTTGTCTAGTCTCCTAAGTTCTGAGCTGACCTGGTAGGTTAATCAGTATACTCCGAGCCAATTTTATACTTGAATTTTGAATGAAATAGACCCAACTAATACTATTGAATTCTAGTAGACAGCAAGACATAATGCTATTGAGTTCTACAAGATATCAAAACCTAACATTATTAGGTTTTGGTGGGCAACTAGGCCCAGTATGCTATTAGGTATTAGTAGCAACTGAGTCTAGTATGCTAGTAGACCTATATGGATAAAAAGGCCCATCATGCTATTAAGCCTGATTGGGTAACAAGGCCCAAGGCTACTGGTCCTAGCAAGTAACAAGACCCAATGTTATTGCATTTGTCATTAAGCCAGATTCAATGCTCTAGATTTGGCTATTTGGCCAAACCAAGTAGTATTAGGTCTGGCTGCCCAGCCTAACTTAACAATAATTTTTTACTAAATATAGAAAAGACAATGTCTCTCATAACACTATTGTATCATTCACAATGCAAACACTTTATGTCAAAAAAATAAAATTGAGATATTATTTTTTTAGTTTTTTAAAATTTATTTTTTATATCATCACATCAAGATAATAATAAAAAAATTTAAAAATTTTAATTTGATATAAAATGTTTTCTAATTTATTTAATGCCATTTTTAAACGTAAAAACAAACATGTTCTAATAAGAAAATTCAGCCCAACTTGAAATGAAAAAAAAATATTTTCACTCAACTTTTGTATAATATATAAAAAGTCACATCAATTTATTTTTATTTTACGGTATGAAAAAAATTAATAAGACGAAAGAAAAAAATTGAAGAGGAAAAAAAATAAAATTATAAATATCAAAAAGAAAAAAAATTAAAGGGAAAGAAATTTGTTGTTGGTATATTGAACGCTACTCTGCTATTCATTATTTATAGTACTACTATAGAAAATACTTTATTTGAAGATGATGATTGTGCAAATATATTTCATGCTTTTAACCTAAATTAATCATTTTTACATTTTAAAAAATTGTTATTAATCCAATGCAGAATGCAAATTCATATGTTAATTATTATATTACTACATAATGATCATTTTTTTAATATTGTTTTTTAAAAAATATTGAGATAATATTTTTTTAATTTTTTAAAATTGATTTTTTATATCATCACATCAAAATAACATCAAAACATCAAAATATATTAATTGATTTTTTTTATTTTTTTATGGACTCAATCCTTTTCGGTATGGCTGCCTAATGCTTTTAGGTAATACTTCATGCTATAGGGCTCGGTTACCTAGTTAGACCGGGTAGTAATGGGTCCAGTTATGTAGCCAGAATTAAGAATAATTTTTGACTAAAATAAGAAAGATAATGTCTTCTATTATGCTATAGTGTCATTCATATTACAAATATTTTATATCTATAATGTGTTCCACAATGTAATGAGTTTGTGTCCACAGTAAATAGAAAGTGTTGTTCCCATACTTTTTAATGTGTTTTTTATTGATTCAATCTCCTTGGATATGATTGTTATTGAATTCAGCTACCCAACCAGACCCAACAACAATTTTTTACTAAAAATAGAAAAGACAATGCCCTCATGGCTGTACAATGTCGCATAGAATACAAATACTTTATATCTACAATATGGTCCATAGTGCAATAAACCTATATCCATAATGAATACATAGTGTTTTTTCCACACATTTGAAAATATAGTATATAATAATAACAATGCCTTTTCTTTTCAATCTTATTTTTAGAAAAGCAGTAGTCCTCAGCTCAAAATCAATAGCATATTTGTAAACTTAATTAAATGTTAAGTATAAAATTATTTATTTATAATCTAAAATAGAATATTGATTTTATTTTCATTTCTTTCATCCAAAGCCTCATGAAACCTTAGCCTTATCTATATAATAAGAGTGGCTTTACCTTATATTTAAATCTTACATTTAGGATTTGAACTTAAAACTTTCCTTTTGAAAATTTCAAATGTTCTAATGAACATGTTTAGTTTTTAAACATATTCTTGATTTGTTGCAAAAATCAAAACAAGAATTTTTTATGTTATATTTTAGCTAAGTTTTGATGACCATTTGTCCTTAAAAAACAAAATCAATTAAAAAGCATGACAGTCATTAAGATTTCTTTTTCAATAGCTAAGCTAACTTGAAAAAAAATAAAATTATAATCCATTAATTAATTAATTAATTATGAAAATAAATTAATTGTATTTCTCGACATATGATATTTAATAACCCGCCATTTATATTGGTCTAGTGCATTAAAAAATATTTAAAGGTTAATTACACCAAACATCTTATTATTTGATTATTTTGCCTTTATTAAAAAAAAAACAATTACACTTTACATCCTCAAATTTGTATATTTATAACACTTTACATCCTCTCACTTACGCATAAAAAAATGAACAAAAAATATTGATTTATGTATAAAATTGTCATTATATTCTATTAAATTGTTAGAAAGTCATTGCACTCTTTAAATTACAAAATTTATCACACTTTTAAGAATTACCCTTTTATTATTTTTTATATTCAAAGTACAAATTTGCCATAATTATAGGATAGTTTTTTTTGCTTCGAATAGTTTTTTTGCCTTCAAAGTTTTATCAAACATGTGGTGTGAATGTTTCACAAGACTTTAATCACCATCTCTCTCATCTCCAATGAATATCCCATGCCTAATGGAATTACAGCCAATCGAATGAGATTACTACTGCCCTCTTCTAGAATCATAATCTCTTTGTGCGTTATCTGATATGCCAGACAAAGTTATACCCTATTCTTATAAGTAATTTTTAAGATGCAAACTAGTAAAATAAATATAAGAACATCCAATTTTAAGATTATCAACTCATAGTAGGTAGTGCACAAGTGACATGATTAAAATATTAATGTCTTCTCCCAAAGTGCAAGAGTGTCGAAATACTAAATAACCCAGCAAAACCGGAGTCAAATCACAAAGAGGTTAATTGTATAAATTATAAATAATAAATAACTCGGCAAGACTAGGGTCGAACCACAGAGAGGTTAATTGTACAAATTATAAATAACAATAATACAACAATAATAACAATAACAATGACAACAATAACAATAACAATAACAATAATAATAATAATAATAACAATAACAACAACAACAACAACAACAATAATAATAATAATAATA